TCTGGCCTGCCAGTCCCTGTCGACGGTGCCGAGGATGCAGCTAGGACTGAAATACCCCTGTCCTGGTGCTGTCCACCCCAGTGGTGAGGCCTCTCCTCCCACCCCGCCTGCTCTGATGAGCCCCCTCATGCCTCCCTCTTCCTGGACCCCCAGAAGGGCCTCCAGGAGACCAAGGTTCAGGCTGGAGCAGGTCCTGGCAGGGGATGGGAGTCTGCATGTCTGGAGCCGCGTCGCCCTGCCCGTGGGACACAGGCAGGAGGCGGTGGCCGCGTGCATCTGCTCGGCTCCCAACCCCAGGACCAAGCCCCGCTCCAGTCCGGTGGCGCGGTGCTGCCGGCCTCCCGCACACGGCACACCTGCCGCCCTGCGCGCTGGCCTCGCGGAGGTGCCGCCTCCACGCCGGCCTCCTTGTCTCTGGGCTCACACGGGCTCCCAGGCCGGCGCCGGTGGCGGGAGCTCGGAGGGCTGAGATGGAGCCCCAGAAAGTGCCAAAGTTCTAGAAGGGAGACGGGTGGGGCGCCTGGTGCTGTCGCGCCCCAGGAGGACAGGTGACGGGATGGTCACTGACCATTGGCGTCGCCCCTCTCCTGTAAGCCTGGCTGGCCTCCGCCGCCAGCGTGCCCTGTCAGTGGGACTGGGCGGCCCGCCAGCAGGCCTGACTGTGGTCGCCAGGTGGGTGTCGTCCAGCCATGGCTTTGCCCATGTGTAGGCGGGGCCGCCTGCTGGCTCCGCCCCGTGAGCTTCACCCTGCCCCCCCACCCCGCCCGTGGGCCGCTCTCGCCCACCAGCTCGGTCCCTGTCGCACTTGCATCTTTCTGCCCCGTGGATCCTGGCCGGGCTTATCATTGCACAGCCGTGGTTCTTCCAGTTTTAAAGGAAGTTTAAATGAGACCGTGCTGGGCCTGACGGGGGACATCGCCCTGTCACTGCCCTGCCTTGAGGGGAGGCTGAAGGGGGACGAGAGAGGGACCTAGGCCACCAACATCTCCTTCGCCCCTCCCACCACACACACAACCTGTTAAAACACGGCTGCTGGCTCTGCAAAAGCTTTTTGGGGACAACTCATCCACTACTCATCCACTCCGATTGTGACCCCTAAGTCACTCCTACCAGTGCCACCAAGAGAAGAGTTGTTTGGTGAAAAAAACGGAGGACGTCCAACAAGGGCAGACTGGCTGACACCTGCACACACTTGTGGGTCAGCGCTGGCCGCTCATCGTCCCGCTGATGCAGGGCTGGAAGTGCCACCGCCGCCTTCCCTGGGGAACCAGCCCTGATGCCTCCGCTGCCACAGGCTGCGCTGATGCTGTTTCTAATCACACATTTGTTCTGACGATAGTTTGATGCAGTTTGCCTCCTCCTCCTCCAGGCTGTAAGTTTGGTGACAGTGGGTCCTGCCTGAGCTCGGTCACCACTGTGATCTGCGTCTAGCCCTGTGCCTGGAATTCAGTGCATGAGTGAAGAATGACTGCGGGAGGAGATATTTATAATTCCTGAACTTCCAGCTAGAGAGACTCAGTCCTTTGAATCTTAAGGCTTTCCGTATCTTGGGTTCCCGGTTGTTACTAGTTCACAGAGGAAATAACACAGTTTAGAATGGGCCGAGATGTGGCTTCCCGGGGCGACTACAGCGGGTCCAGCCCTGGACTCCTATGCGGCAACGTGGCGTTACCCTCCGGAGAGTTAGCCCAGGACCTTGGAGAGCGTTTTCAAAAGACCTTCCTCTCTTATTCCAACCCCATCATAGCGCCCGCTAATAAAAAAGACCCGGGCTTGGGAGCCCGTGTGATCCTACACCATTTTTTCTATATTTGGTAATTAAAAGTTAATCTAGGCAAGAAAACTAAGAAATCTGCCGAGAACAGTGCCCGGGTTATTCCCGCAGGAGCTCGGCTCCTCACGCCTGGGCCGCCTCCTGGTCGTTCCTGCCCCGAGCTTCTGCTGCAGCTGCAGTTCTCGGCCACCTGGGTTCCTGCCACTTCCTCCCTTCCTCGCCAGATCCTACCTAACGTTGCTCTAGATTGCTGCAGCTCACCCCGTTCGACATCTGAGTAGCGGCACATTCATTACAGAGACCTTCAGCTCATGTTCATTTTGGGAAAAAAGCTTGTGTGCTCTGCTAATTGAAAGGTGTACCGGGAGGTGCCATGGCGGCTTAGAAGGCAGCCCGAGCCTGGGAACAACAAAGTCCGTCACCGCGGCCTCGCAACGTAAAAGTGACCCACTAGGCCAGCCCCGGGCTGCGATTTTTAGCGTAGTTTCAGCTGTTTAAAACAGAATTCCTTGGGTCTTGGCTTCTTAAATTTCTAGTTCTGGGATCTGTGAAATTCACGCATCCAGCATCAGGGGAGCAATGATGTCTCATCGACTCTCCATGCTTCGCGGTGATTACTTGCACACTGTAGCTTCCTGTCTCTGGGATTTAGTGTATAATTGTGCTGTCCATCTTGCTGGTATCATCATGATGTTTGTTTAGCACGGATGGACATGACTGTGCCCCTTGATTTGGGGGAGATCTTTTTTTTCCTCTAAGTTTAAATGCGCCTTCTATTCACCATTGTATTTTTCCCTCCGTCACAATTCCACCCTGGAAGAGAAACATGCAAATGCAGACTCGGTCCTTCATAAACAAGCCAAGTCCTGTTCGTATAAATGTAACATATCAAGAAAAATAATAGCTTGGTTGTCAGCAACGATTTACAGGTCAAAGTGTCACTTTATCCATTTTTATGTTTTATTAATTCCCTAAAGTCCTAAGGTCCTCTTCTGAGGAAAGGCATGAAATATAACTAATTAAAGTTGCTCAATATGACACGGATAATATTTCCTGCGAACAGTAAATACTTAAGTGGTTTGGGGGCCACCGATGATGGTGAAAGAATGGCTTCTGATTTCACAGTTAAGATCATCGTACCTTCCCTGAAGGAAAAGAGAAGAGAAAGAGCAGGTTACTCTGGGTGTTTTGTTTCCACCATCTTTACGGGGACTCCCATCGGTTCATGCCGTAACGAATAATTTGTCGCGTGGCTTCTATGTGCTAGGCAAGAGATATGAAAACGACTCTGGCTTAGGGTTGTGTTGACTGGGTGGGGGAAAGGAGAAACGGAACGCGGCGGCCCCTTTGGGCCGTCCTGTTAGTGTGAAAACGACAGGGTCGGTGATGCTGTGGTCACCTGCCCAGGCCGGCTGTCCCCTGGGCTGTGGATGGAATCTTCTGACCCACGGCGAGTAGGAAGTAAAGGGAGGCGTCCTTAAGTCGCCGGCTCTGCGGTGATTTGTTACAGCGGCTCTAGCATCACCCGCGGAAAACAGGCTTCCTCTGAGCCCTCACCCACCTCGCCGCCGCCCCAGCCCTCGGTCGTCTTTGCTCGCAGCCCCCTGGCCCGCCCCCCGCCCCGTGGAGCTCCCTGCCGGGGCGTGACTGGGGTGTTTCTAACTCCGGTGGACGGTGTTCAGCGCCCTGTGCCTTGCATTTTCAGTAGTGTGTACCTTTGTCGCCGCATCCTCGAAGCACCCGCGTGGTGGCTGCGAAGCCACGTGCCCCGTGCCACGTGCTCGGCGATGAGTCTCGGCGCTTGCGCACGCGCACCCCGCCCCTCGCGCCACCTCGGGCCGCCGCCCCGCTCTCTGCGGTCCCTCTGGGCAGAGTCCTCCAGGCCCTCAGCATCGGCGACCACACACGGCTCGGGCAGCGACTCGGGTCAGATTTCTCCCGCGCTGCGGGCCCGCGTCTCCCCCCGCCTGCTCCACTCCTTCACAACGGGAACCTCCAAAATCAAACTCGGGTCTCCCCAGTGGACGCCGTCGTGCCCCACTTAGGGACCGCCACCTCAGCTGCCCCGTCGCTGGGACCCGATCGTTGTGTCGTGCCATTTCTCCGCGTCGCCTTTTCCGATGTCCTTTGCTACCATGGCAGCCAATTGGCAGCCGCCCTCTCCCCGACTGCGCAGTGTTCTGTCGCCATCGTCACCCCCTTCTCTCGGCCCAGCGGTCTGGTCTTCGGAGACACAGCCGCCCCTGTCATTCCGCCAGCCCGCGTGCTTGCGGCTGTTCTGAGTGAAGGACCGAAGCGCTTACAGTGCGTGGCGCGGCCCCCGCGCGCCTCTTCCTCCCGCCGCCCTGCCGTCTCTCAGTGTCTCAAACGCTGCGTCCGTGTCTTGCCCCCGAGGGCCTTTGCACATGTACTGCTCGCCCTTTTCAGACTCCCGGTTCATCTCATTTCTTCTCGTCTCTTGCGTCTCAGCTCACGTGGGTCCTTATTTCTCAGACCAGGTCTCACCCCTCTCGTAAGCTCTGGCAGAAAGCGTGCCTTTTATAGCATTGATTAGGAAGGAAGTCTCCGCTGGTTTGTGGCACTATCTGATTCTTACTTACCTCTCCCACGAGACCCATCAGCCCCATTTTCACTATTTTGTGCCCGGTGCCAAGCACACCTGGGTGCCTGATGTGTTGAGCACATTGGGTGCTGCTGGAGAGGCCGCGGTGCCTGGCGGGTTGTGAGTGCTCAGTAAATACTCACTGGGTGAACACACACGTTCCGTTTTAGACCATTTTGACTTACAAAGGTTGTCAAGACACGAAAGTAAAAGCGTCTAGTGAGCGGTTGGAAGTATGCAAACGAAATACAGTATACGGGGCTCTGCGACGTGCGTCATGACTCACTACCCACGCAGGCACCCAAAGCTCCTGTCTGCGTGAAAGCCCGGAGAGAGAGCGTGGGCTGGCCGGAGCAAGCTCGAGCTTCTGTTTCTCGGTGGGGCCACCTGTCGTTCTGTGACCACTGGGCACTGCGACCCCTGGGCTTCCAAGCACAGTGCAGCCTTCATATCTCCTGCCTTGACCGCGGCTCAGTGTAATTTTCTGTCACCTTCTGTGGTGTCTCCTGAGTGTCCTCCAGCCCCTCTCTTCCCCCGAGTATTAACGGGAGCTGCAGTCACAGAGCTATGCCAGATCACCAGGCATTCACCGTAGATTAGCTCTACATTTTCGTTTTGTTGTAGAAAAGACTGAAGAGGAGAGTTCGAGCCTCACCCTTTTTATTCTTCTGAAAGCAAGTTTCACCAACGTTAACTTCAAAAGATTAGAGGAAAAGTTTGAATGGAAGATTTTAGAGCATATAGAAGCATATGAACCTTCTGGGTGAAATCTTTTTTCAGTCACAGACACAACATTCTGCTCCGTGTCTGCAAATGAAACAGAAGTTGCAGCCACGCGTAAACGTAACGAGAAGTACTTGGCGTCACAGCTCACTCAGCACAAAAAATAAGCTAAAGGAAGACGTAAGAAAACACTTTAGCAATTCATCTCTTAATAATGTAAAGTGTCAACATAAAATTCTTTAAATACAGAGTGTGATTTTTATCTTGACAGGGTTTCTTTGAGGTCTTCTGGGAACAAATCTTTAATTATTGAGCAATTCTGACTTAGGCAATCACATGCTTCATTACTCATCTCAGAAGCAGAGGGCTATTCACAGAATGAAGCTGTGCTGTTGGTGGAGGCGGTGGGGCGGGGGGCAGGTCTGCAGAGACAGACGGCGAGGTGGCCACCCCAAAAGGCTCGCTGGGACTTAACCGTGCACGAGAGGTTTTTACCAAAATTCCAGGAGGTTCTGTTTGCCAAATGTCTAAAAGTAAGGCGATTAGAAATAAAGCCAGAGGAAAGTTTACTCTCTCATATACACATACATGTATATTCTTAATTGTTTCACAAAATTAGGTACTGTCACTTGCTCCCCTCCCCCACCCCCATACATCTGCAGGACTGCACGCAACATGAGGAGATAAATCGTGTGGTTCTGCCCACCGTGTCATCCTCGCTGCCTGGTGTAGCCTGCGGCTCATAGCCAGTACCCGAAAAATTGAAAACCAAAAAGCGCAAAGGAATGAATGACTCTGTCAATAAATGCATACCCACAGAGTCGTTAATTGGAATATTCTTCTATGCAGGTGTGTCGTGGTTGCCCCAAACGAGCCTCTGTTTGGGGACTAACTTGTTTCCAAAGGCTTCATATGTATAGCTGACAAATTTAAGCTGTTTTAAAAAATGGCACCAAGAATAACAGCACCTGTTATTAACCCTAATCACCCAGAATCAACAAATTTTAAGATTTTGACAGGTTTGCTTCACTTTTTTTGAATAAAAGAAAGCGTTGCAGATAATGTCGAAGTCCACATTTTTCTGTCCTCAGTCTGTCTAATCCCCCTCCTTCCGCCCGGGCAGCAGCTGTCACCCATTTGCTGTGTGCTCTTTTGGTCTCCTTTTTCACTCAATACTTTTAGAAAGTGTGATTAGCATAGGCTCAAGGGGGGTTGTTTAGTTTAAAGTATGGCATCATAGTGTATAGATAGTTCTGCAACTTGCTTTTCCCCACTCTACAGTGATTTTGAATTCTCCTTTGCAAAGTACTGAGCTGTTTTATATATTTCATCATTTTAATAGCTACCTTTTATTTCTTTCCTACTACTCCCTATTGCTGGACATTTAGGTTCTTCCTGATTTTTCACTATTGCAAATGGTGCTGTAGTGCTCATCGTAATCACATTTTATTGTTTTACACATAAAATTGAAAGGCTATTAAATTCCTCTTATTTTCAATATTTCATTTGACAAGTTGAAAAAAAAATGTTTACATCTTTGAAGACGGAGCAAGGGCAGGACCTTAAAACACATGCAAAAGAACGTTGGCAGCCCGCCCTGTGGCTCCCGGCCAGTGTGGGGAAGGTCTGGAAAGGTACACAGGTGAACGCAGGGGCTCCATTACCAAGAGCCCTGGAAGCTCGTTCTGCTTGGGCGGGGAGGGATGCTGGGATCCAGCAGAGACTCGGTTCTAAGATGCACAGGAATGGTCTCCTAACCAGAGCTCACGGAGGGGGGAATACAGGTGGCAGGCGGGAGGGGTGGGGAAGGGCTCAGGCAAGGTAGGGCGACTCTGCCATGTGGGAGGAGAGGGTAGCAGACCAGGGCTGGAACGGGCATTCAAATCGCCTGCAGATGATGACCTTCATCACTGTTTCTTTCGATATTAAAATTTAAACATGCCACAAGGGTTGATTAACCCTTGGCCTCCAGTGTCACTTCTGCTCCACGTCTCAGCACAGCCCCTGCCCAAGCGCTGGTACCAAAGGCCTCGCCCCCAGGGCAGAGACTGCCCAGCGGCTGAGATGTCACTTGCTGGCACACATCGCTGCCGTTGGGTACACGAACCGTGAGGGACCAGGTGTGACTAAGTTAAACCGATTCCATTTGGATGTGTGTTTGACGTGCTTCTCTGTGACTCCATTCCATAGCCGGCCGCTGTCTGTCCGTCGCTGCCCTCTCTTTGGCGGCTGGCCCCGACTGGGTAACTTGGGGCTCTTCCAGGGCTGTTAACTTGTCTGCACCCAGGCCGGTGTGAGACGCTAGAGAGGACACTGGCTTGAGGGACAGTGAGCAACTCGGAATTAGTGCCGTGGGGGCAGCGCGACGGGGCGGTGACAGCGGCCCGGGCCGCAGGTGGCGGCGGGACCA